TGGTTTCTGTGAGGTTTCCTGGTCTTAGCGTCCGCTGAGGGCTGTAAGATTTCAGAACAACTGGAGTTTTTATTGGAAGAGGAAAAGAAGGAATTGTTTTTCGTTCTTTAGCTCCCAGATAACTGCTCATATTTGTGTAAACCGATAGTTACTGAAGTTATCTAAAAGCAAGCTGAAGAAAATAAGTCTTTTAGCATCTTTTATAAAAGCAGAGTTACTGTCATCCTTTCTAGTACTTAGGCAATGATTTAACTGGCTTAGTCATTCTCTAAAACGACGTTTGAACATTTTGAAGGACGTAAGCAGGCGATGAGCTCTGCCAGTGCACGTGTGCTTTACCTGCTGCGGATCAGAAAGTAAAGCTAAAATTGCCGTTTTCCCCTGTGACTTGGGGAATTTTGTACTTTGTTGATTTGAATTTGTCATTTGGTGATGCGTGGGAGAGGAGCAACTTTTAGCGTGATTGAAAAGAAAGACTGGCAGGGATGCATAGAGAGTGAAATTGGTCTTAGAGTAAAAACATACTACAGTGCAATTCTCCCTTTTTAAGCAGGGAAGATTATCTGTACTGACAGTTCCTGCAGCAATTTTTTTCCTCACAAATTACTTGCCTGCTGGTTTGCCAGAAGCAGTTGTGCTAGCAGCCTTTTTTGCTTTTAAACTGACTCAATAAAATGAAGATTTTATTTTCAATTACTGTTCCATGAGAGCAGCTGTAGCTGCCACAGAGATGACACCTCTACTGTAAAATTAAGAGTAAAGGAGCTACTCCTCAAAATCCTGGGCAAGGCCCTGACAGTTTGTGTTAGGGTCTTACTGAAAATATAGAACTCTCTTCCTACTTGTTTTTGTCCTCGATGCTGAGGTGATGATTAGATGATGACTCTGTGTGTCTAGCTATAGCTCAGCCGCAGACCAGAATGCTGCTCGCTCTGTTTTTCAAACCAGGATGTGGGTAATGAGGGGGCTGCACAGTTCCCCTCTCCCACCAGCTGATAGGAAGCAAGCTGCATTGGAAGGTGCTAATAGGAGAAAGAAGATTGTAGACTATGGTCTCCTTAACTCATTAGTAAATTCACTTGCACATGCTCCACTTTAAGATTTGAAAAGAGGAGCAGTTATGCAATACTGTCTCCTGCTAAACAGGATATCGGCATGTCATGAGCTGGTTTTCAAGATTTCATAGGCATCACAGCAAAAATTTTCAAGGCAGAGAGTGATTTTAGAGATGAAGGGATTTGTGTATGCCAAAAGAAAGCTCTCATCAACTGGAGGGACAGCAAAGGAACGAACACGTTGTGCTGCTTCATTTATTTTAGGTGGTGATGGGGGAAAAGCTTCATGGGTTAATTAGGGAAAAGTCAGCACTTCTGACTATCTTATTTAGTATTAAGAGGTTGAGGTTGTGAAGGGCTTTGAAAGCAAAGATAATTGAGATGGAGGAAGAGAGTCAGAGAAAGGGTTACTATGGTCAGGGTGGCAAACTAAAAATATGATCTTTGCAGCTGCACTCTGAGTAGGGCAGAGTTGAGCGGGTTTGTAGGGTAAAAGTGATTGCAAAACTGAGCTGCAAGTCTGAACAAGGGCTCTAGGTCCAAGGGAATGCTGTCTGGGAAACTGTTAAAGTACCTGATTGAGGAAGTACTCAGGTGTTGGGCCTGAGAGAAATAGTGGGGAAAGGGTTAAGATTTTAGCTATGCTTTACTTCGAGGGGAGGGCACAAGTGTCTAATTTAAATGGTTCTGAACACTGACCTTCAAAACCTACTTCTTCAAGCACCACCACTTAGCCCAGCTCCTGTGAAGTTTCACACACACGTGTTTCTCTTTTGACTTTTCTCTGGCAGATATTTTGTGAAGGTGGCTTGGGCATGGACGTTCTGGCTTCTGCTACCCTTCATCGCAGTGACCACCTACCAGTTTGCCAAGAGCAAGTTCCTGTATGGTTCCACGAAGAGCATTTTGATGGTGCTGCGGCGTCTCAGTACACTGCTAGTGGGCACCGCTGTCTGGTACGTCTGTACCAGACTCTTCATGTATATTGAGAATCTCACCGGCACGTGCTCTACCTCGGGTAAACTCAGCGAGCCTCACCGGCTGTATGCCACCAAGCAGGAGTGCCACCAGGACAACGGGATCTGGAATGGTTTTGATATCTCAGGGCACTGTTTTCTGCTCTCATACTGTGCTCTGATGATTGTGGAGGAAGTGGCTGTGCTGGAAGGCTTGTCCGTAGACCAGAACTCTAAGCTGCGTGTTGTGATCAACGTCCTCTTTGTTTCCTTGTGTTTTCTCACCATGATCTGGGTGTTCATGTTTCTCTGTACTGCTGTGTATTTCCATGACTTCAGTCAAAAGCTTTTCGGTGTGCTGATAGGTCTGTCAGCTTGGTACGGGACATACAGATTTTGGTACTTGAAACCCTTTTCTCCTGGACTACCTCTTCCAAATGTACCTTTGAGTTCAAAGAAATACAGTTACAGCAGATAAAAGAAGTTTAAAATATTTTTGATTTTGCTTTCAGTACTGGAGTAGAAGGAATGGTTACAGTATTTCCACTGTGAGGAACAAGGTGATGGGTTGGAGGAAACCAGATCTGTACTAGCCGATGGCTGGCAGGTGGGAGGAAAAAAATTCTCTCTTCCTTGGGAGAAAAAAAAAAATTGGTATTGGAAGAGGTCTGCTCTTGTTTAGGAGCTGCTGACAGGCATTCTCAGCAGAAAAATCAGAAGTTGGATGTGTTTCTCATAGTAATAAATGGAGGAGCAGATCCAAGGCTGACAGAGGCCTTTGGTCTTTAAGAGCTTGACTGATCTCAAATTAAATCTCCCTCTTTCTTTTTGATTTATGTCAAAATATTGTGGATGGTCCAAACCTCATACTTCTGGTTTTTTATTACTCCTATTTGTATTGCCTTTTGAGAAAGCTCTAATAATAACAGTGCTGCCAAAGGTTGCAAAAATATCAATACTCGTTAGAGCAGTATATAGCTCTGTTGTGAAACTAGAACATGTCCTGTTATCAAGTATTAATACACTAACTTGCCACAAATGCTTCTGAGCTGTCTGCACCTTCTGCAACAAAGAGAGTAAATCTGAGCTGTAATGTCTTAAGCAGACTGTGACTTTAAATTCATGCCTGCCTTTGAGAAGGAAACTCTTGAAAAACAAGCCTTAACTTTCTCCTTAGGTGAAGTATCTGTAATAATATTTTGTCGTTTTATTCTTGACAGAAAAAACCCAAACTCCTTCCAATTTTACTAAAAAGTCTAATATGAGAATTGGGTTTTTAATTTTTTTAAATCTTCTAAGTTGCACACTTTGCAACAAGTAGTACTTTGTGGTATGTTTCTTCTAGAAGAACAAGGAAATCCTGGTGTTACAAACAAGTTAGCTTAACCTGCTATTTCCCAAATAGTCTGCTTGGTAGTGAATGAAACACATTGTTTATCCTAAGAGCTGCAAAGCAGTGTGCTTGAAGCAATATTTATTCTTGCTTATCCAGCAATATCAATAAGCTACTTAATTTTGATTGCACATAGAGCTGTGGCTGCTTTTGATGTGGCTGGAAACCCGGTACTGAATAAAACACTACTATGATATCTGAATAAGTGTGAAGTGGGATGGGTTTACTCATCATATCAATCAGACATTTAGCATAGTTTTTATCTTGAAAAGCTTTTTATTATTTTATAAAGACTTATTTATGAGGCAATTGCAGAAAATGTGTTTGACAATTGTAGTGATGAGCAAGACAGCCAAAAAGGTCTATGGGCAAGGCTGTTGATGGTGTCTGCTAATCTGAGAGCAGGCTTGATTTGCCTGTTGCGTTTGACTCCAAGGTGATTATTTTACTGAATACAGGGTATGATGCACCGTAGTCTAATCTTGGCACATTTCTTTTTGCTATCTTAACAGCTCTCTTCTAGCAAGAGAGCGGTAGCATTTGCAATAAATACAGCAGTGTTAATTCCACACTTGTGGTCTGCCTCTGTGGACAGGTGAATTCACCTGAATTTCCACTGAATTCAGTGGCAACTGGGAGTAGTTGTGTGTCCTGAGAAAGTACAAATCATCTTTCAGAAAGAAGCTATTCCGGGAGGTTATGTATTTTCTGTCAAGCTCCTCCTTTTGTTTTTGTATTAAAATGCCTTTCAAGCTGACTCTTTGGAAAATTTGCACTGATTAACTCATATTGGGTTTAACTAGGTTTGTTTAAACAATGCAAATTCATTTGCAGACGTTCTTTTGATGTAATGTAAGCCTGCTCCCAATAGAGTTAAGCTAGACCGCAAGCCACTTTCACCATGAAAAAGGATTATATACCCAGGAGGCTTTCTGATTAATTTCGTTAAGTTTCTGATTTAGGTTATCTTTATATAACTTTGCTATATAAACAAGGCCTTGGAACAGGAAATGCTATTTAGTTAAACCAACTGACTTTCTGAAATTATGTTCAGTTTCACAAGTGTTTTGTGCAATGTTTCTGTCCACTTCTAACCAGTGTCATACAAACTTTTTATTATGGAAGTAATATGGGATATGGTGGTTCTCAAAACTTTTATTTAAACAATGAAAGAAAAAGACTTGAAAACTTTACCAGTGTTTGTGTTCTTGAGAATCTGTTTCTGATGTCTGTAGAGATACTACTGCTGCTCTTCACTTCCCTGAATGATCCAGCCTCCCGGTATTTTTGTGGCTACTGAGATGTGTGGTCAAACTGACATTGATAATTCTGCAGTATTTGAATGGGTTAATATAGCACAGGTTCTCAAAAGTACAGAGTATGAAAAGAAAAAAAAACAAACAACAAACAAACCAACCCACCCCCCCACCCCCCCAAAAAAAGCCATGCCTGACAAAAGCAAGTGTCCTAATGTGTGCCTGTTACACCAGGCAGTTCATTTTGTAGACATGGATAATTGCTTGTTGTAGCAAAGTGAAAGCCATTGAAATGTATGGGAAAATTCCCGTGGGCTGTAATACTGCTTATGAGTTTGGAAATCTTGGTGCACATGTCTTCTTAGTACCCTGAGACCGAGCCAACTGTCAGTTTAGAAAGTTCCCCTGTGCTCCAGACCTGTTCTTCACACTTTTTGACTCTTTCAGAGTAAGTCTTTGCTTCCTTGCACTCTAACTGGAAACTAAAGGTTGCAAACTTTCTTTTCACATATTTGCCATCACCTTTATCTGATTTCCTTCCCTCTCCCAAATACACTTTTATCGTTAAAATAAAAATGCGGCCTCTCTACAACAGATTTGCAGCCAAAGAGAAGCAGTGCTGTGAGTAGCTGGATTTGATCTCCTGTGCCAAAGGCACAAATCAGCTGTCAACAGGTATTATTAATTTGTTTCAAGTTTTTTTTTAAAAAAGTGTAGCATTTTAAAGATAAATTTTCATATCTGGTAGTGAATTGCAAAAGACAGCAACTGTAATCACAAGAAACTCTTGATATTTTTTTTTCTTTTCTGCATTAAAGTATTCCTCTCATTCCTGCAGAGCTGTCTTTCTGTGTCTGTAGAATTATCTAGGGAATTTTTGTTTCCAACATTTTACTAGCATATTACTTATTTCAACATACGTTTGCTAATTTTTCATTCCCTGTGTTTGTCTAGGTTGTTTTGTGGGCTCTGTTTCACAGTACTTTCACAAAAGCAGCATTTGGCCGGACTGGTGTGGCTGAGGCAGTTCTTGGTCTTGGTAACTTAAACATTTCCCTCTGCTGGGGCCAGCAAGGAAGGAAGTCTCAGCTAGAACGTGGTGGGAAGATGAACTGGGTTAGGATTCATTTCACTCTTCACTTACCTGGGACTCTTTCAAATGTTTGCATCACTGGAGGCGAGATCAGGCAAACAGGAAAGTTTAGATCTTTCATAAGAGCTATCTGAACGGTTCAGACTTTCAACGTGTCTGAAACCGGGGTTTGCTCCTTCTGCAAAATCTTTGTTCGAAGCAAATTTGTTCCGTGAATGCTTCACTAGTGCTAAATGGTATTTCTTGCTTTGCCAATTTATTTGTTTGTACTGAAACTTAGGTTATGGAGCGGCTGCAAAGAAAGAATCCTGTTTTCTATTTGATGCATGGCAATCCATGAAAAAGTGAGAAACACCCAGTTATGCCCTATAGTGCACTTTAATGGAAAAAACTGTAGAGGCTGCTGTGATATACTAAATGTTTTGGAAAATCAGGCTTTAGTTGTGAACACAAGTCTATGGTCACTTTTCTTAGTGAAATAATACCTCTTTTTTTGACTGTAGCTTAAAGTAGATCCCTGCAGCTTCTCTGCAATCAGCCTTTTCCAGCTCTTTGCCTTTGATCAGCCTGTGTTTATCTCTGTTCTCTCAGAAACCTGTTTCATGGGATTATTTCTTTTCATAGCTTCATCTCGCCTCCTGGAGTGCAGATTAGTAATAAATGCTCTTTACCTCAGCTGGATGAGTGCTTTATATATATTTTGTCTTCCATTCTTTTAAGTGTTTTGCCAAAGCTCAAGATGAAAGGAAGTAATACTAGCAAAAAAGGCTTTTGTGACTCTGAACTCGTAATTAACCATTGTTAAAAGGAGCTATAATGCTGTTTACCTGGAGAAAAACGCACGCTTAATTTATTGAAGCAGTGCTACACCTGATGTGCTTGAAATCATGGAAGGAAACAGAAGTGACAATGGTGCTTGGTGCATTAGTAGAGTTAGCTTTGTCCTTTTCTTGGGGAGGAAGCACTGCATTTCTGTAAAGAGTATTTTCACCCAGGTTTTTAGTAGGAAATAATTAATTTGAACGTGGGAAGGGTACCTTAGTGCTTAAACACAGTATACAATGGTAACATAGAGGTTACAAGCTGGAAAAGCAGAAATGGAAATGACTATTGGGATTGTGTGCAGTCTCTGAAATTTCAGGCAGTTACGTAGTAGTATTTAGTCTGAAAGATTACTTTTAAACTACCCTCCGTCCATCACATAACACAGGTAATGGCATGTGCCTTGTAACAAGCTGGATAACTTCTCTGTAAAGCTTTGGAACTAAAATAGGGCACAGAAAATAAGCAGCAGGTGAAGAGCTTTACCAGCCTTTCAGGATTGTTGAATATCAAGGGAAAGCAGTACTCGGAAAAATAGCCTTTCTCAATTGTGCTTTGCCTGACAATGCACACAGCGGTAGATCTGCACTTGTACTGTGTATCTGCCCAGTGGTGTAAGGCTGAAGAAAGGAAAGCATGGAACAAAACTAAATACAAATGATGATTATTTTTTCTCACATCTCTGAAGCCTTTTTCCATGTCCAGTCTGGGTACATTTTACAGTTTTATGTTGTGTATTCCCTCGGTCATATAATTTAATGCATTTAATCTGTGAGAAACATGGTTGATGACAGAGAGATAAATAAGCATGTCCTCAATGTAAATGTGAGCTCTCTTCTGAAATGTCTTCCCTAATTCCTGCGTTGCCTCTGTTCTGCGGAGCCTTCCCCATCTCTCGGGGACTGGGGAGAAGA